ATCTCTGGATTGACTGGCAGCACTCAGACCATCAACATCCCTCTGTCTCAGTTCTCCGGTGCCAACGCCAATGCTGTTACCGGTTTCGTTTGGGCTGGATTCTCTTCCACCACTGCCACATGGCAGATGAGCAACATCGCCTTTGGTTGCGGCAGCAGTGCTGGTGGCAGCACCTCCGTCTCCGCAACCAGGGTGGCTACCACCTCGAGCTCCTCGGTCCGCAGCACCATGACGACAATCTCGTCTCCCACAGCCTCAGCTGGAACCTGCTCTCCTTTGTTGATCGATGACTGGATTTCTCAATCGCGTCTGACTTTCTTGTTCTACAACGCCATGGGGTACCCTACCTCTGATGATGCTTCCATGACTTCCATCACCGTTGGAAAGCCGTCTACTAACCACGTCGAGTTCGTTCCCAAGGCCGACTCGTACTTCTACACCCAGTTCCCCTGCGTCGACGCGAAGAAGAACAAGTACACCGGTATTTCTCTTCGCATCAAGGCTCCTAAAGGCGCAACCCTGTCCGTTCAGCTCGATTCTTCGGACAACTGTGACGCGACCAACCCCAAGTCCACCTACGCGTCCGCAACTGACCTTGGATGGACTTTCGATGGAACTGAGAAGCTGTACACCATTCCCTTCAGCAAGTTTGCCGGTCTCAACACCGAGAAGCTTACCACTATCCTCTTTTCCGGATTCTCTGGTACCACTTCATTCGGACCCATGGCCTTCTACTGCGGCAACTCTGGAGAATACGTTGTGCCTCCTACCTCTGCCGACCCCGGCGCCTCTGCTACCGTTCCCGCTCCTAGCAACCCATCAGCTACCGGCCTTGTGATTGACAAGTTCGCTAACGCCAACACCAACGCCATGGGCAACTGGCACGGTGGTGACGAGGGCATGTCTCTCCAGTACGCTGGCGGCAAGCTCACCATCAAGTCCCCCGACGCCGACTACTCCTACTACACCCAGGTGTCTGGTGGCTGTGCTGACTTCACCAAGTACAAGGGATCTTACCTCCACATCGCTTACACCGGTACCACTGCCTTCACTGTCGCTTTCCAGCAGCACAACAGCCAATGCAACACCGAGATCGCTCCCTTCCCTGAGACTTGGGATTCCGCCGAGGCCGGCCGCTACGCCAAGAACGGACACATTTACATCCCGATCAGCCACTTCAACATCAACCTCTCCCGCGTCGTCGGCTTCGCGCTCAAGGGTTTCCACAGCAGCGAGTCCGTCACCCTCTCCGTTATCGAGATTGTCTCCTCTGTTCCCGCTGGTACTACCATTCCTAAGAAGGATGAGACTGGTGATCTAGTCTTCGCTTGCAAGCGCCCCAACTCCTTCGCTTTCGCCATCGACGACGGTCAACCCGACCTCGCCCAGGAAGTCCTTAAGATCATCCGCGAGGAGGACGTCAAGGTGACCTTCTTCACCGTCGGCGCTCCCCTTCTCGACGCCTCCACCAACCTGACCAATGTCTACAAGGAAATGATGTCCGCGGGTCACCAGCTCGCCCTCCACTCCTTCACCCACCCCAAGATGGAGGGTCTTCCCGACTACGCATCCATCGACTGGGAGTATAACGAGGACGTCAAGGCCATGAAGTCGCAATTCAACGGCTTGACATCCACTTACTTCCGTCCTCCTTTCGGTACCGAGGGTGCCCGCATGCGTTCGCGTCTCACAAAGGCTGTCGGCAATACCGCCAAGATTGTCAACTGGAGCGTCGATGTCGAGGACTGGTTGTGGGCTGAGACCGACACCCCTGAGCAGCAGAAGGTTGCTTTCCAGCGTGACGTCGACAAGGGTGGTAACCTTGTGGTTCTCCACTACCTCTACCCTAGCACTGTCAGCTACCTTCGGGAGTTCATTCAGATCGCCAAGGCTACTGGCAAGCAGCTTATGCGTGTCGATCAGTGCATGATGGACCCCAACGCTCCTCCGCTATAGATCCGATCATGTAGTTTTAATTGAGTTGATGAGAGGATGATACCCGAAGGTGCGAGCTGTTGTAGAATAGAGACTCGTTTAGCATATCTTGTTAATCGTAATTACATCTCTTAGAACCATTCATATGAGCATCCAGCACGTTGTGACCATCTTCCTGATCTACCGCAGAACGACTATGTTAGATCAAAGCTTGGAGGCATCTCGGGAGAAACTGATTGTGCTGAGGGCCGATAAGCGGCATGAAGATTACGATGCCTCTTCCTTTTACCATAAGCACCTTATCATGGTAGGCCCGATTGTCGTGAAGCTACGTCTCAGGTCCTGTGAGTAATCACGCACATTAATCAAAGCTTCCTCAGGCGTTTAGTAACCACCTTGACACACTTCGACAGCTCTCCATCAAATATACTTTGCGGGATTAGTATCTTCATCACGTCCTGGGTAGGCGCAGGCAGGCATTTAGGGTTGACCATGCATTTCGCGATTCCCGCTATAACAAACGCTGCGAGCCTTGGAATGCATTGCCTCAAAAACCAATTGTACGAAACACGATGTCCGATGTACGACGGCCGATCACGGGCTGTATGCTGGATGGATCTGGGAAAAGGCACAAGTCGATGATGGAGTGACGCCACTGTCGGCTGAAAACTCCCTAGCGCCGAAGCGACCGAAAGTCACGTGCCGTCAGCAAGATGGCCGGGTGCAAGCGCATACCGCACTATCCTTCCCACCTACATCCTCGACATTCGCCAAAGGCTTCTCATCGGCATGCAGTTATCTTCTCGTGTTGATTATGCGGAGGCGCGTCTTCGGACCGTTGGCGGTGACGGCTTACCTTTCTATTTTCCCTGTAGGCACACACACGGCACAAGTTATGGTGTCTATTGAGTAATAACAAATGAACTATCTTTGTAAGCGCGCAGCCTCAAAGGCTATCAGATTTCGTCTATCAATGCCTACCTAGGTACTTGTCCACGGGTTCGTCCAACACCACTCTGGTAAGCTTTTAGGATCCCACTCCCTCACCCTGGTTGCCTCAAACTCTCCCTTCTCGTCCCTACGGAGAACAAACCTTGGCTTTCTCACATATCTCCCGAGATAGGCTTCCATGAACTCATACTCTTCCAGCTCAATCAGCAGCGGTAACTGCTGATGGTCTAGCTCCAAATACAGATATCTCGTCAAATTCTTCAGGACCCATAATGACGCAGCCCAGAGACCCGGTTTTGTAGTCTTGTAGTGGATGGCATGGTAGATCAGTGAGTCGAGATAGGTCGTAAGATTCGGGACCAAAATGGGACTTGGGTGACTTGCGCTTTTGCCGCGCGGTAAGCCGGGGAAAAAGATGGCGTTGGGATGCGCACCAGGAGGCGAGTTTGGCACCTTCGTGTCTGGATGCACACGAGGACCATACCACCATCCATTCTCTCGGTGCAGAGCTGGATGCCAAGTCTCTTCGACGAGGATAGGCTGCCAACAGTCACGTCGGGGACTTCGATAGTGATGCAGCTATCTATGTCCAGATGGTATGCGGTGTCGGACCAAAGAGCTAGGTAGCGGAATTCGTCTTCGTTTTCGGTGGATGTTTGCCGGAGCACGATATCGGCGTCGCAATTCATTACTGGGTCATTGCCAAAAATGTCTTCTGGATCTCGCTCGTTGATTTCCCATCTTTCCGTGGCCAAAAGATCGGATGCGACGGCTTTCAGCGTGTTTTGGCGGATGAGAATTTCGTGTACATCTGTCATGGTTCCGGCAGACCCCATCCATCGCTGTGCCGCGCATCCAACGAGTAGGAAAGGATGTCGATGGGATGCCAGAACGTCCAGAACGTGGTCGAGGCTGCCCTTCTCGGTTGCGACTGGCTTTGGCGCTATGTAGCCGCCAGGTTCTGTTTCGTTACGTTCCATCGTGTGTTTACGTTGTGATGAAGTCGGTAAAATTGGATTTGGTGAGGATGATAGAAGAGGAATGAGTAAGTCGTATGATCAACCTAGGTAAGTAAACGTTCTTGTTGCATGGTTACCTTTGGATGAATGCGCCAAAGGACCGTGGAACCGAGGAGTCAGAACGCTGCGCTAGGATGCTAGCCAACCGATATTCTACGAAAGCGGGTAGCTACGTCACGAGAGGTGTATCACTGGCGTGCATGCACTGAACCGCAATCTTTTAGGATAGTACTCTAATTCTCAAGATTGCAGCGCGATACTCAGTATGTGTTTGTAGATTGTTTATGTCGTTGCTACTACACTGTATTATTCCCGCGAGTTGACGAGCTCAACCTTGTTTCTTCCGTCAGTTCGCTGCATAAGCCCCATGAGATAATGCGCATAGCCGTTGAGACCCTGCTCCATAACTCCATCTCGCCCTCTACGGCCCATTTCCCATCGCATTCGCCTCCGATGTCCTGCGCTGACGTTCGTCCTCCGCTTTCCTGGCTTCAACCTGTATGTCCGCGATATCTTCTGGATGCCTCTGGATCTGCGACCTGATGATGCTGATTTGAGAACTGACAGTAATGGCCTGATTGGCGTGGAGATGAGTAATGGCTTCCAGCTTTTTTGTCGTGCGCGCGTGAGCGGCTTTCTCTTGCGCGAGTTCTGCTTCGAGACGAGCGACTGGATCGACTGGGCTTTGGGGGAGGGACATGGTGGCGAAGAGCTTGGGGCTGGCTGTTAGTGACGTCGTTCAAATTGGGCGAGAAGGGGAGAGATACCTTTATTTTGAGTCGTACGGAGAAGGTGCGGCTGGGTGGTTGCTGGCAGGAACAATTGTGGAAGACGTTGGATGGCAAAGGTGGTGGCGGATGAGAGTGGACGATGGTCTTGAGTTATCAAGGCGCGACCTCAGTCTCTTTCACTTTCACCGGCTGTTGTTTGTTTGTTTGCTCGCTTGCGCGTAGGGCCGCACAAGTGAAGGTGCGTCCGGCACGAAATACTCGTGGCCCGTCTGAGCTACAACACTGAACAGCCACCATCGAACCTCGCCGCGCAGTCACACAATTGACTGCATCAGCACAGCTAACTATCCTCCAGTTGCCAGCCATGGCTGAGCGCAACGCCCTCATAACACCATCAAGCTGGCAAGCGCCGCCGGCACAGACGGATGACGTCGGCATGAACGGCCAGCAAACCACACTCAAGGAGGACGAGCCAGCAGCACGTGATGTTGGCTTGCCGGAGCCTTACAAATCGTTCTTGGGAGAGTCAGAGAAAAGATATGCAAGGAAAGAAGCAGTAGAAGCAGCTGCCAAAGACTATGACAAAAAGCTAGAGGGGAAGGAGTTGGATCGTGAGAAGGATTTGAGGCATCTAAAGCTTGAATTCATTCTCCACGTCGACGGTCTCAAGCGAAAGAATGAAGAGCTGCAGATCACGATTGACGCCTTCCACATGCTGTTTGAGAAGATGCGCGGCGAGCATACGACAGAGATCCATGAACTTACTCAAGCTATGCAGCTACTTTGGAGTGAACTGTATGCCAAGGACAAGGAGCTCAAGGTCATGTATGACGCGCACGATGCTCTGGTCAAGAAAGTCGACGAGGAGAGGGCGGAGTTACCGAAGAAGCTGGCCGACGCTGCGAGGGATGCGCTTGCTCTTCAATCCAACGCACTCAAGTTATCTGACAATGCCGTTGTTGCAAAAGGCCCTGCGTTAGTACACGATATCCCTTACCACTGACATGGCTGACTCTGTCTAGATCCGTTCCTGCGCACCTCAAAGGCAAATCTCAACGCTTCGCACACTGCAGCCAGTGCATGCGACACAACTGGGACTGCGACCGCGGGGTTCCATGCAAGAACTGCTCGTTGCAAGGCATCAAGAAAGGTTGTAGGCGGGTTGCGTGCGAAGACTACAAGAAGGGCACGTGCAAGAACAAACAGTGTCGCTTTGCACATGAAGGAGAGATATACAAGCGGCTCCATCCTTCCGAAGACGTATGGGGTGATGGGCGTGAGCTGAGTCCAGTCGAGCTCGACAAGATGGGTGTTTGGTAGATGGACGACAGCTCGCTAGTACTACATGGCATGAGAAACGTCGAGAGAGATGTGAGACAACACAGTATTGGGAATACAACATACAATTTGAGCTGTGTTACATGACAGGAAAGATGGCTTTGGAGGCGACAAGTGATTTTCGGTTGATGGAAATGATCCTGCGCATGAGTTGTCACGTCCTGGGTATCATTGTACACCTACATTTAGCGAGGTTGGCAACAATGTATACAAGTATATCTAGGGAGTCAACGCTCTCGGTTCTACAGCAAAGAGTTTGTTGAACATGTTCTGTGGGTCGTACTTGGCCTTCAGATCTTGCAAACGTTCGTAGTTGTTGCCAAAGACGTCTCTGGACTTCTCTTCATACTCTGTCTGGGCGTTAGCACACCGTTGCTTGCATAAGGATATCTTTCCCGTGTTCTCATTATATGAGTGAGGAGTGCACGCTTTGGAGAGTGCTTACGGTCGTAGTTCCCATACACCATTGTGGCGCCATGACTGCCTCTCTTCCCAATCCACCCATCGTTGCTCGCCGCTGCCTCAGCGCCGCCACGTTGAAGTTCATTCTTGAACAAGAGCGCAACATCCCTCGACCACTGCCTACACTTCTGATCGTTCTCCTGGTCCCACCACAAAGGCGCAACAGCCGCATTGAAGTGTCTTCCGCGGTTCGCAAAGGCCATGTCAGAGTTGGTGACTTCAACAATCTTCGTCGGGTCTAGTAGCTCCCACATGACCTGGGAGCCGACTGCATCGGATGTCTCGTCAGTAAACTTGGCGTACGCCTCCAAGACGGATACCACGAAGTCGCCACGGACAGGAAGCTCGAACCCAGCTCCCTTGATAGAGACACGTGCACCGATGGGTAAGTCCATGAGTTTGTTTGCCTTGGCGTAGGGCATCATTGCCATGGTACTCATCAAAGGTTCCAACCTAACGATATCCTTGAACAGCTCTTTGCCGTCTTCTTCCGACCCATGGAAGATCGCGGCTACGAAGAACAGGACCTGGCCACCAGCAGGTGGAGGCCTGACGAAACCGAAAGCACTCGCAGCTTTCCCCGTCGCTTTTGAATTGCCATCTGCGTCCGGTGTGAAGATATCGTTGCATGCTTCCACGGCTTTCTTGATGATATCTGGCGTTGGTGCAAACATCATGAAGCCAGCCCACAGATCGCCTGTCTCATGGGTGCGGAATACAAACTCAATGCCGACACCAAAGTTCTGTCCCGCGCCGCGCAGAGCCCAAAACAGGTCTGGGTTCTCATCGGTAGAGGCTTTGACGATACTGCCGTCCGCCAATACGACAGTACATGAGATGAGATTGTCGACAACCAGTCCGTGTTTGACTGTGAGCCAGCCAAAGCCGCCGCCGAACGTGAGACCACCGACGCCGGTATCTGAGACGGTGCCACCAACTGCTGCAAGACCGTACGGTGCAAGAGCTTCGTCAACATCACCCCAAACGGCACCTCCGCCGACTTTGATCGTTCTTTCCTCGACGTCGACGTCGGTAGTACGCATATGTGTATTCAAGTCGATAAGTAGTCCGCCGTCCGTTGATGATGCACCAGCAGTCGAGTGACCACCTCCTTTGACTGCGAGATCAAGATTGTGTTCGGAAGCATACTTGAGGGTGATTGAGATTGCTTCTGCCGATCTGGGTATTAGACATGCTCCCGCTGGCTTCACAGCAGCGCTTGACCATCGGTGAATGGATTTTGTGTATGCCTCAGTTTCCTTCGGTGTCACTAACTGGGCGTCTGTATCTCCCAGCAATTCGCGAAGTTCCGCGATGTCTGCTTCGTTGATCGGGCGTTTGGTAGCCATCGCGCGGAGAGTAGTATAGTGACGAGTAAAAGGGACGAAGGACAAATATTATGACGGATACTTGTACATATAGGGCTTCGAGCGCTTGGTCCAACCTTGAGTAGGCGAAGACGTGACGAAGCGGGTTCTACATTGGGGCGTAAGCTTACCACGCCGTCGACCGTCAGCAACGTAGGAGCATGGCGAATAGCTGTCGCCGACAGCTCGGCAAAAGTAAGGCCTACCATCGCCGGCCGTGTTGACAGGGAGCTCGACCGTATAACTGATATCGGACTGATTGTTCATTGGAGACGCCATGCGGTTTTCGCAACCCACCCATGGCGATCAGCTCGACCACATGTACACTACAGCCCATAAGGTCTCATTTCCGAGCCCAATTTCGCACGGTGTCACTAGACTCTTGTCAAGATCTATCGTCGTCTTTGTTCTGGGCCTGGCATGGACGTCAAATATGTGAGCTGGCCAAGCGCGTGGCGCTCGAATCTCGAATAGCTGATGCAGTTGTGCTGGACAGCGCCCATGTGAGCCTTTAGATGCTGACGGCCCAGAATGATGCGCCATACTTAAACAGTCGTCTTTGCTTCTCAACCTGTGATGAAGCGCTGTCCGTAGGCTCTGGGGATGGCTGCATCAAACATGGAGTCGGTGTTGCGTTTCCGGTAACCATGATCTGGAGGTCGACGGATGGAATAGAAGGCGAAATAATCGATTCAAGGGGGTACGCACGAAGACCGCGGTTGATACCACGAAGCTGTCATGATGGGAAGGGTCCGTCGAAATGACGCGCATAGGGGAGTGGCGGGGAAGGGAAAGGGATCGGCAAACCTACCTAGGTAGTCAGCCTTGGCAGTCGCGTCGCGTGTTGCGAGCTTCTTCTTACGTCCGACGTTCTACCCCATCCTGCATCCCTTCTATTTCATCAGACACCATGCCTTCGTTCTCTACTTTTGCTATGTATTATGACTCCTGCATTCCCCGATTGGCGGCACGCGAACAAATGCAATGCTCATGACGTCATGTTGTCAGCGCACGCGAAGTCTGCCTCAAAGGCTGCACAGATCTCGAACGATATCGCACGCGGTCGAAGTATCATGGCGAAGATGTAGTATTGCGCAGGTATTTTACTGTGCGCATGCATGTCATCTTACGATATTGCGTTGCGCGCTCAAAGTCGTGTCGCGAGCCAGGTCGGAGAGCATGTGACTCAACGCAAGCTCGACTTTCACTTCTCCCAGGTGCCTCACAGACCTTGATGGCGGCGAGGAAGAGATCTTGATTAATGCGAGGTAGTATATCCTTGCAGTTCAACCCTCGGAAGACAAGGCTTTTCTTCGTATAGCCTTCTAGACGCCGAAATTGTCGTAATGGTTGCGCTACAGTCTAGGTGATGCTGGCTTCAATGCATTGCTCAGCGCCGTGCACGCATGTCAGGTACAATCTCACAACGCTTTTGTTCCGCTCGTTTATTCATCATGTCTCTTTCCGCCAGAATCTGCTTGGGACCGTAGAGCTTAAAGTGGTGGGGTTTTTGCGTTCGTCTCAGAGAGGATGGCAAGTGGTGTCTAGAAGTTCGAGACGGCAAGATAAATAGCTCATCTACGGGGATCACTTTCGTATTATCATACGTTCGATATCATGTTTAAGAGATGGTGGCATTGTGAGCGCTGCGCCTGGGCAGCATCTCCTAACCCAAGGCCACACGGTCGGCTTTGCGAGGTCGTCATCGCCGCCAATGTCGTGCTGCCTTCACCGAACAACTTTGCGTCGTTTACCATTACTGCACGCTTACCTGGCTCGCATTGACAACTGAGATCCTCGACTGCAAGCTGAGTTATATGGCCTGCTGCCCTCCGCGGGTCGCGATCTTGGACATTGTGCGCCGCCTAAATATACTGCCACCTACGATTTTTCAACCACAGGACCAACCCATCGCTTCCGCGCACAACAACAACAACAACAACAACACAACCGATTTTCTCATTTTTGGTACCCCAACCAAGACCACAGACTTTTCCGCGACTCGACAGCGCAGCACGTCTACAGCCAACCTCTGCCAACTCTAAGGCGAAGCCATCTTTAAGCAGCGCAGTCGCCTTCACCTTCACTGGACGCATTCAATCCGAGGCTCACTTCGACTTCCGCGACAAGATTGCGACTAGCGCCAGAATACCACCTCTACTCGCACTTTCATGCACTCTTTACCTACGTCTCACCTCGACCTTTGTCTACTCACCACAACCTTATCCCACGATATCATCGCATCAGTCACACATTGCTACCCCGCGCGTTGATCGTGCATTTTCATTTCATACCGATTACCCGCACCCGGATCGCTCTTACTGTTATGGCGCCCTCGGCTCTCACCTCCCAAGGGAGCCCGTCGAACCCCGAACCCGCAAAGCCACAGCAACCCACTCCAGAAACGTCCCAGAAGGCTACTTCGCCCACGGTCTCACTTTCCGAAGAGAACATCGCCCTTAAGCAGCGCCTTGCTCAGTCTGAACTAGCCAAGAAGCACCTTGTCGAAGAAGTCGCGGATGGGAAGCAAAGAGTCATTGATGCCGCGAAGCGTGCTACTGCCGCCGAGATCGAAACGAAAGCAGCAAAGGCACGCGCCCAGAACCGCTATACAGAGAAGGTGCACGCCAATAACGAGAACCGTCACCTGAAGAAAGAGATCGATACGATGAAAAAGGAGCGTGCGGACTTCATTGTTGGTGTTAATAGCATTCTTCAGGGTCGCGACGAGATAATAGCTAAGCTCGAGGAAGCAAGAGCCAGCGGAGAATGGTCCAAAGAAGTCACTGCAGAGTTCACAAAGCAGGTAGATGTCTTTCAACAGGGCTACCTCGCGTCTGAACGTGGTAAAGAGAAGGAGAAACGTGAGAAAAAGAAGGAGAAACGTGAAAAAGAGCTGGAGAAAAAGGTGTCTGATAAGATCATTGGCCAGCTTAAATCCGACAGGGACACGCAGGGCAACGTCAACAAAGATCTGAAAAGCGTGATCGCACAATTACGACAAGACATCGCCACGGAGAAAGAAAAATCGAAAGCCGCAGTCGATGCGCCGACCGTGGACCAGATCGAGGCTCGCCTCGCTGCTGCCAAGGCTGATGGGTTCAAAGAAGCCACCATAGCAAAGCAGAGTGAGAACGCTGAGTACCGAAAGACCATAGAAGATAAGGCAAACGCACGTGTCGAATGGATGAAGAAGGGCATTGAGACCAAAGCGAAACAGTACGTACAGAAAAGAGAGACTGAATGGCGTTCAGAGCAGACTAGTCTCAAACAGAGGGCTTCTGCAGCTGAAGCTGCGCTGAGTGCTGCCAATACCAAGCTTGTGATAACCCAGCAACGGCCTATAGCAATATCAGTATCGCACCCTGTGCCAAACGATGCTCAGAGGCCTCCCAAACGGAGCCAACCGACTTCTTCGCAGGGAGCGTTCGACTCTAACAAGCGAAGGAGGCTTGACGCAGCTGGGTAAGTTCTACATCGTTTCTATGGATGAAGCTATTGCTAATACACACAGTGCTGCCGGTATCACTACACCAGACTTCAAGCGTACGCACTCGAACTCACTTCCCTCCGATACCAATGCCATGAGCCCTTTGTCAACCACATGGTCGAACGGCGATACTATCATGGGCGACGCACAAATGCAGAGGCAAGCTCGACATGTCGCACCGAATGGAATGCATGGACGAAGCTCGTCACAGCAGTCGAATGGCTCAGCAGGGCAGATGGCACCCGCCCGGCGTCCTTTGCAACAGCCTGGTGCCATGATGGCCGCGCCTCCAGGACGCACACCCAGCAACATGTCACCCCAGCAGCAGCGACACTTGATGCAGAACTTGGCTGCGGGTAACGCCGGCAGTCAATCACCTAGATTCCCTCAACATAACTTAGGCCTGATGCGCACATCTCCGCAGGTCGGTCGACAGATGGGAAGTGGTCAGCATATGACCAACCAGGCCGGAAACATGAACTCGAACGACGGGGACTTAATGATGCAACAGATGCAGCGAGATGCTCAGTCGCAAATCCGGTCGCAGATGTCGACACCGGCGCATGGGTCTATGAGACGGACACCTTCGTACGGCTCAGCTTCTTCTGCGGCGCCGCCTCAGCCTCACGTCGCGCAACACTCTTCGAATCAATTTGCACCCCTCACTGGGCAGAACTGGAATATGAGGCAGAACTTTGAGCAGCAGAACTTACCAACAAATGGTACGAACCAGAGAGTAATGGGTAACCACGCTCCCATTATGGAAGAGTTGGATTCGAATTTTGCCTTCGACGTTGACGCACTTGTGGGAGATGCTGCTTCTCAGCCAAACCTCGGAGATACATATAACTGCAGCGATTGGTTTCCCACAGAAGATAACACCAATCAGACGGCCTTCAACTCGACTCTCTTCTCGATGGGAACGCCTCCGATGTCCCAAGCCGAGTTCCAGCAGCCTCAACAGCGCAGCTACCAAACCCATTCACGCAATCACTCACAACCGTACGAGGGTGGTTCGAGAGACATGTCTCACGGGTCCGAGAGCCTTCAGAATGAGCCCATCATGGACACGAGCAGGAACGGTTCACGCCAGCCCTCTGTTTCGGGACGAGCGACTCGAGCTTCTTCCCGCTCTACACCTGGACCTTCTGGGCCTTCTGGACGATCGAGACGCAAGACACCAGGTCCGGCGGAGCCGACCCGAGTCCCATGTGTGAACTGCTACCGTCACTGGTGGGAAGGCGAATGCGACGAAGGCGCGCCATGCTCAAACTGTGTTGCATCAGAAACAAAATGTGTGCGGCAGAAATGCATCAACTATGCTGCCGGCACTTGCGACAAGGGCAACAGGTGTCCCAACGTACACGAAGGAGACGAGCGTTACCAGAACGAGGAGTTCCTTGTAGACCAGACCAAGGCGGGCAAGCGGCCTTCACGTTTGGGTACGAGGGCGGAAGCGAAGCCGCCGCCAACCCAGGATTAGGATGCTTGGCCTATTTGATATATCTTGAGGGTTAAGATGCTTGCCCGCAACTCCGCATGGTTGTTGGATCCTGGCGGCATTGAAGGGAGTTGGTCATATTTGTTTGGATCGAGTTTGCTATCCTTGGTGTATTCCCCTCCACCCTGGCTTGACAGCTCTATTGAGTTCCAGCCGCCCGAAAGGGCAGGCTCTCATAGGGCTGAACATAGCCGGGTGGGGGTGGATGCTGTGGCTTTGGATCGCTCACAGCGTTGTGCTTTCTTTATTGGTTTCTTTGTGCGGCTTACTACGCGTGCTCTCGGTGGTCGGAAGCTGGGTTGGGAACTGTATCATATACCAGATTTGTAGTATTATATATCCTTGATGATGCACTTTACCCTATGCACTTCGAATGCTTCACCACCCTTTAACATGCAATCTCGCGCTTGGTGTAAAAGAGAAAGTCTTCGAGACCATCTCTTTTGAGTTAACATCCTCATGGACTGTAGTGTGGGAGTCATCTCCAGATTGTAATCGAATCTGGCGGTGGCAGCTCGCGATATCGAGTGTAGCAATATCATCGCAAGCATGCCAGATGTTGCGATGATATACACTGAGGTTTGCGCGTCGCGCGCGGGGCTTCGATGATCACCTACGCCGGTGGCGGACAAGCGCTATTCCAGATACGATCTAGCTTATCAGAAATTCAGGGTTTTCAAGCTTCACCCCACATCATCGACGAACCAAGCTCCGCTTGGCTATAGCTTGCATGTCTTACTCGCGCCTCTTTCCACTCTTTCCAATCATCGGCACTTCTTTTCATGCGGAGTATCCATCACGACCGCGATCCTTCCGACATTCCGCGCCGTTAGAGGCCTAGGCTCATGGTGCACCTTCACCCCATGCACTGCTAGGAGGTTATCTCCGACCATGACGAATCGCCAGGGTACGCTAAGCGACTACTTACCCGGCTGAAAAAGCTTTAAGTCGCGCAATGTTGGAATCTGAATCTTTTGTGTTCCTTTAGACGTTACGTCCATTTCATTTCACATTCATGGCTTCAAACGAGCCAGGCCTTGCGCCTCTCAGTGCGCCGGCTGAGGACCCTATCAAAGGAGCCGTCGGCGTACCCGTCGATACAGACACCCCCGTTGCACCGGACCAGTTCGACGAACGTTACGAGACATCGAAGTGGGAGATCTGGTCGTATTACTGGTATGCAAACTATTCCAGCGAGGGGACTGATTTGGAGCGCGGTACATTGACTGTGCTGAGGCTGACATCCTATTTTCGAACAGCTACTACGTTGGAGACAATGGCCTCACTCTTTTCAACTTCGGTCCGACGGCTTTCCAAAACCTCATGTATGAAGCTGCAGGAGACTCCGAGGTGCTGTACTTCATGGGCCGAAACCGTACCATCAACTCCATTGTGCTTCTCTGCAACGGCATCAGTTTCGCCATCCAGGTCCTCGTTTTCTTGATCCTCGGTTCTTTCGCCGATTTTGGTACATGGCGCCCCAACATCCTGATAGGGCTGTCCGTCATTGCTTTCGGAATCGGATTTGGCTGGTTAGGCGTTCATACCGAGGATAAATGGCACGCCGGTGTGGGTCTCTATATTGTCGGTCTTATCGCATACCAAACGACAATCACATTCTGGACTGCTGCCTTCCCTGGACTGGCAAGGAACACCAAGGAATTACGAGTCAAAGCCGAGGAGTTCGCCGATGGAACGATTACCCGCGCAGAGTACGATTTTGCCGATATGATGAAGCGAAACGAGCTCTCCAACACGGCGTTCTATGTTCAATCCGTGTTTGAGATCCTCATCCTGGCTGTTATCGTGGGCATCATGTTCGGTCTGCACGTCAATGACAGCGCGGAGAACAACAACTGGGGTCTCTCGGTACTTATCGCTTTTGCGACTGGAGTTTGGATCTTGTGCGCTCTTCCGTGGTTCATCCTCGAGAAAAGACGACCAGGCCAGGACCCAGGACGCGCGAACATAGTCCTAGCTGGTCTCAAACAGCTTGGATACGCGATGCGACAGATCTGGCAGTTGCGCCAAAGTCTGGCATATCTGGCGGGCTACTTTCTCCTCGGCGACAGTCTCAACACCACCGTGACGGTTATCGGGACTCTACAGAACGAGATTGTTGCGTACAACAGTCTGCAGCTTACCTACCTGCTTATTGTAGGTATCGCTGCCCAGGCGGTTGGCATCGGCGCCTTTTGGCGCATCCAAAAGTACTACGGTCTATCCACCAAGACCATGTTCATGGTCGTCGCCATATGCATCGTCCTTCTCGACGGCTGGGGCATGATCGGCATCTGGACGCAACGCTTCGGTTTCCATAACAAGTGGGAGGTTTGGGTATACCAGGCTTTCTATGGACTGCTTGTCTGTCCGTGGTACAGCTATTCGCAGACCATGATCTCCGAGGTCACACCGAGAGGGAAAGAATTTCTTTTTTTCAGTTTGTTCTCGATCGTGGGAAAGACGAGTGCTTTCATCGGCCCACTGGTCAGCTCTGCCATTATCGATGATACTGGCAACAACAGTAGTCCTTTCTATTTCTTGTTCGCGTTGAGCCTGGTTAGCTGTGCCTGGCTTTTCTTCTTTGTCGACGTTGAGAAGAGTAGAATGGAGCAGGAGACTTTCTTGGAGAGGGAGAAGAACACTAAGATGCACAATGAGGATGCTGAGAGCCTTACTTGATCATCTAGTAATATTCGAATTACCTCGTTCGCGAAGAGAATTGCTAGTTCGGTCGCTTCGTTTAAGCCGTTCGACAGACCCTGATCCTGATGACGACGATACCTGACCGCACAATGTTTCTGTACATGCGAATTCGACTAAACAAGACATTCGTAAGTAAGAGAACGGAAACACACTGCTTTACCCTTGCGCATCGCCGTGTGCTCACATTATTGGTCAGGCGGGGCCTCTACTCATGTTCACAATGCACGTGTCTCAAGCTCACAATTGCCTGAACCCCGGCCATATCTCTTGAAGTTCTAGCTATTCCCATCGTATCACGTTGGTTAACAAAATCATTCGACGATTCAGTCTTACCAGCCATCGACATCATCAAAACCAAACACACCACCCGACATCTGAACAACTACAGACAAACAGCAATGACATTAACCTCCTGGCTAACAAGCTCCCCCGAGCAACCCACCGATACCACCGATCCCAACAGCTTCGCCTCTCTCGTCAACAAGATGACCCTCGCCGCTATAAAGTCAGACGCCGAAAACAGCTACAAAGAAAAGTACCTACGACTCCGTAGGCAGATCGACTCAGACGCCGTTCACAACGATCTTCGCGCTGAAATCACCTCTCTCTTAGCCAACAAGACCAAATACGAGACTAAGCTCCGCGACACCGAAAAGGCGAAAACGAGCGCAGACATGCAGGTCGTTGCCCTTGACCTTGTGATCAAGGATACGAATGTGTACTACAAGTCCAAGCTAGAGACTGCAGAAGTGCAGAGGAAGGGGCTTAAGGAGGAGAATAGGAGACTGAGGATAGATGGGCAGCATATGAAATCTTTGCTTCTCGCTCATGGGATTCGTGTACCAGCGCAGAGTTCCACGAATGAAGACAAGCAATCTCCGGAATCTGAGTCTGCCCCCGAGCTAACGGATGATAGCGATATGGACGAAGCGGTTGAACTTAGTCTTGGCAAGCTAGCCACGGGTCCAGAGGAAGTTTGCCCGCAGTGGTATAATCACGGTACGTGTAGTCGTCGGCGCGGTGATACTCCCGGAGCGTGTGAGCTTGGTGCACATCCATACCTTGTTGGATTTGGTACGTCCGTAAAGGAGTAGAGGTGCGTACAGCGATGTATTCGGTAGCAGAGATGGCGGATGAGGAATAGAGAAGCTGGCTGAGACGTGACGCTTATGGTTTGTTGGTAAGGATACAAAGGTACCTCGTACTTGTAGATTCATTCTTGGTTCGCCTGAAGTATCATACAAACATCCGCTCCCCTACTCCCCCAAAACCTCTCTAATGATCTCCTCACTTGGAAACCTGACCTCCTTCTTCGCAACCATATCAACCAGCTCTTTCACCCGTCTCCATTCCTCACCCGTCATACTCTCCAACCGGCGATCGATATCCGCGCCAAACCTTCCCCAGAACTTCGCAAAACTCGCCGACTCATCCTGCAGATACTGGCCCTTGTTAATAACAAGAAAATTTCTAAATGCGTCCCACCAGGTCATCGATTCCCTTGGCACAATCACATCTTCCAGTACGTGCGTTTCTTGTGATGACGCTCGACCTGCGTTGTCGAGCATGTATATGAGCTCGTAGGTATATGAGCGGTCGGCTCCTTTTGCCATGTTGTCGGGGTCCAGGGTTGCGCGGTCGAAATCGATCACGACAACGGTTGGTAATGTGAAGTTGGCTTCTTTGTTGGAGGCGGATACATCGAGCATTACGTTTCCGCCAAAGACGTCGTTGTGGGAGATATTGGCGACGTCGTGGAGCCACCCGATTGCTTGCGTTAGCTGTTTTGCGACGTGTAGTATGAGTACCTCCGGTATCGCGGGGTGGGGAAAACGGCGCGAAGGATCGTTTTCTGACGACGGCTGGGTTATCGCGGTGACCACGACACGAAGCCGCTCAAGATCGAAACCACAGACAGGACTGACGACCAGCCAGCCCGATCCGCCGTTCTTGATCGAATCGTTATCGATGAGCATGGGAAGGTGCTTCCGAACAGTTGCGTTCTTATCGACGGCGAGAAAGTTGCGGATGCGTTCGAGAGCGACGATTTCATCGGCTATCCTGTCGCGACACATCTCTCGACTGATGATCTTGACGGCGACAAGGGCTGCACCCTGCGCCACGGAGCTGGTCGTGGATGAGCTTGCAGCCGACGGTGTGCGTGCACAAAACGCGATACTTCCGCACGTACCTTTGCCTGCTTCGCGGATCGGGGTAAACAACCCGTTTGTCTCTTTGTAGATTGATTTGGGGTTCATGTCGTCGTCAGATGTTGCTGTAGAGGTATATGTTACTCACTGTATGCGTCGATCGAAGGGTCGCTCGAGAGTAGAATCGCCATATAGTCTAGGCAATGAATACGCTGAGTGTTAACGCCAAAGAGCAAGGTCTATTGATAGTGAAAGGCGCGGATGCGATGCTGCGGTAGGTAACAAGCAACGCTGGAGAACCCTTCACTACATCTAGCTCTGTTCAGCGATATTGTCTTGTAGGGTCTGAGACTTCTTACCGTGTCCTCGTGTCATTGTTAGGGTCTAGCAGATATCCGTGGTCACCTCGAAATACCGAACAGCAGGTAACGGAGCTGAGGAAGCTGCGCCAACAAAGGAGTGAATCAGGAGTAAGAAACGTAGTGAAGTCTGTATTTGAGGCATCAAATAGGTGCCCAAGGTGTCCTATGGGTCGTATTGTACATAGTCGCATCTTCCACGACTGCCTCGTACTAATATACATTGTTGGCTTGCTTTTGGCTTGCAAAGTGGGCTTCCAACAAAGGTCGTCCGAACAATTAAGTCAGACTGCCGCCGTCAACACCTCTTGGCATCGGTGGACGGGAAATGTGCCATGGTACCTATCTGGCGGCATCGGTGCCTGCTGGGGCTGAGTCCGGTCTCCCCAGGGGCCTCCGGCATGTAGAGTATACACGAAGGAAGCGCTGCGTTTGCTGCGTCGCGATGGACATATAACTTTTGTCACATTGACATGTCCGCATCAAGGGTTCAAGGGATCGAATTCCGTAGTGTCCTTTCCCCAAATCTCGATGTGATTTACGTCTTCCCTTTTCACAACTGTAACTTTTCTTATTGGTCCTGCTCTTTTAGCGTTCATGCTGTTATCCTGGCTGTTCGGTGTTGACTCCTTTTTCGATGGGTAGTAAACGTCGCCTAGCTTGAGCACGATGCTGTCGCCGTAGCCAACGTACTTGATGTTTTTGTACTCCGGTCGCCAGAACTCTGTTCCAATCGCAAAGGCATGCATCTCAGCATCTGTGATTTGATACGGCGCCTCGCTTGTGTCGGAGCTTGGGCGGAATAGAAAACGGACGGCCCAGAGCTTGGGCACGAGAGCGAAGACCTGGCGCAGAGATTCAAGCGGTGGCACTGAGCAAGCGAAGCCAACTTGCTCCAAATTGGAGCACGTTTGGCAAAGTCTGAACAGGGCATCATCGGATAATACCCAGCGATCCGAGAGAAGAAGATGGCGAATGCTGTGGTTGTGATTGGTTTGTATGGCCGCAATAAATTCACTCCCGATGCTGCGACAGCGTTGGTCAGTCGTGTGTTTTGGAGTACTGCTCGCGCTAGAGACTCCGATCACACCCGGCGTCATCGTGGACGGTGTTGTTGGGGTTGCAGCAGCGCTGGTAGATCTTGCTGAGTCCTTGCCTCGCCTATTGCTCACAATGTAAAACCGCTCCATGCCCTTGAATTTACCCAGCATGACAGCGCTCTCTTTATCCGTATTATCGGTGCGCATCACCTTCAGGTTGTGAGGCGTCGGATGATTACTGTGTATCCTCCAAGAGTCGTCGGCAAAAACGGTCATAGGGTCCGAGGAGCCCATGGAGTTGATCAGGGTGAGCTCTGTATTGGTGTCGGGGCGGATAACATGGTGGAAGCCATCGTCGGAGAAGCGAGTGTAGATGTTGTATATTCCCAGGTGCTTAAGAGGTATAGAATGCTTGGCAGACATGCATCGTCCGAATAACGAGTGCAGCGAAACCGACTCTTCACCTACAGCCCGCATGCGCGGACTCCAGTGTAATGTAAGGTGCTCGAGCTTTTTGGAACCCAACAGAAGCAGCGAGATATCGTCGGGGTAGCAGAGAGGATCGATATCGTACACTATCAGAGTGGTCAGGTTCGGAAGCGGAGGTATAATGGTAGTCGGCCGTGGTATTCGTTTGGTTTGACACCGAAGGGTGAGCGAGACAAGCGTCGTCCTGGCTGCGATGCCCTGGTAGACGGTATACAAAGGAGGGGTGCTCAGCTCCCAACTGGGCATATCAGCAGTTGTCCACTATGATTCTGGTACGACACCTACGCGAAAGCCTTGAGGTTCTTCATCCTGTCGATGGCGGCACGCATGACAACCTGCAGTATCATGCTGTTGTCCGGCACTCGGCCCTGCTTGTATTCCTCCGTATCATGTTCTCGCCAATCGCCTTTGACCCGGAACGTCTGTATGTAGTCGCCAAAGTTTCGCGACACGAGCGTATTGAGGCCCATGGCAAACGGGCTGCCATTGCCGTAGCCTTCTGGCCTGCCATCTACGTATCGTATCTCGGCGTACGAGTGTAACGTGACCGTCTCGTAGAGCCGCGGGAGCGTCATGTAGTAGAACAGACGCGATGTGCGCGTGATGCGCGCGAGGTCACCGACATCGTCGAGCTTCCGTGCGTGTTAGTATAGCTCGGTTGGGGCAGCTCGTCGCGTGGCAGGGCGCAGACCAACGTACGTGTGTGAGGATGAGCTGGATCAGGTGCAAGGGCAGCTCTTTCGCTTGCGCTAAGTTGCTATGCGTCCGCGCTGGCGAAGTGAACCAGGTGTGCAGCGGCGCGGCCATGGCTCTATTGCTACCCTCTTGCAGCAACAAGGCATCGCCCGAGAGACGCGTGCGCTTTGGGTCCGACATGAGGCTAGATCAAGGGGACACATCCGTGATACAAACAAAAAAGGGCCCGTACTATCATGGCGGAACTCACAGCTTCATGGCGCATGCATATACAGTCATCGTGGCTCATACGTCGTGCTGTCGAGGCGCGTCGGAACTTTTGCTAAGACGCCCGAATGCCCGCTTCGTCCACCACGCGCGCCCGCATTGGTCCGGCTGCTCCGGGAAGACTCGGTTCACCCATGGACAGATGATCGACACCAGGCATCGTGTCCATTCACGTGCACTGCCATACGGCACATACGGTCTGCCTCAGGACCCTGCAAAGCCTCGCATTACTCTCTGTTTGGGTTCAAGTCATCGCTATCTGACTGAAGTATGCGTGGACCCCCTGTTTGCGTGCAGCCAGAGAGGCTCATGGTGGGCGGAAATGTCTCCGATCACCACATGCGCACCAGACAACTTAAATATCCAGCGGTTCCGCCCGGAGAACCAAGATCTCGGAGTCGCCGTTTGCACCGACGCAACTAAAGTCCGCTCATGACCTGAAGAACCAGGGCTGTTTGCCCTTGTATTCGTCCGCAGGAACTCGAAAAGGGACCTCAATCGTTCCGTCAAACACGCTCATCGGCGGTACGTCATCCTGCTTTAGACCCTGAAGCTTTGCCTCTGGCACAGGCATGACAACACCACACTCCCAGTTCCTGCCATGTTTCATTTCAAGTCAGTATGTTTCTCAGATGCAAATCAAATATTTGTCTTGCGTACCTAATGTTCAGACTTCCCATTTGTCCGCTCTTCAACACCTTTTGCCCACCCCACGCTGATTCGGATATATTGGCAGAGCCAACATAAACCCAAGCAAAGGGCTTCCCGTTCTTTCTACGACCTCGCGCGAAGAGCAGTTTGTTATGCGACAGCATCCCCCGTCGCATCGAGTCGTAGTCTCGCATGCATTCTCTTGGAAACGATAGTGCGTTGTAAGCCTGTCTTGTCAACGTAATGATACCGGCACCGTCAGGACCGCCCATGCTTTTCTCAACCGTTTCGTTGGTAGGGAAATATATCCGAAAGCAATCGCGTACGTTAGACTCTGGCGCAGTGTTTGTCCCGAACGACTTGCCGCATGCAGCGAGGCGAATGCGCGACAAGAAGGCATCGTTGATAGAACCGAGCGAGGATGCTGCGTAGTCAAGCTCAA